ACATTTTTCTATCTATCTATCTATCTATCTATCTATCTTTATGTATATGTATATTTGTATATATGTATATATTGACATATGTACATATGTACATATACGTACATATATGTACATATACGTATATATATATACACACATACATACATACATACATACATACATACATACACAGTATATATATATACACATACACATATATGTACGTACGCATGTATGTATGTATGTATATATATATATATACATTTATATGACTTTCACATCCAGTGGAGTATCAACTCTGCCCGTGACATGCACAACGCATGTTCTCACATTCCACGTGTCATACAGGACTTGAACTCATTGGGTATGAATGTCTCTGCAGACAAGACAGTGACGCCCCCAAGCTGATCAAAACCTACACGGAAAGAACACCGAAGGGCAGGTTCCTGAAGATCGCTCACCCCACACATCCAGTCCAGCTGCCGCTGAAACAGCAACACACATATCTGGGGGTGATCATCAGCTACAAATCTTTTGAACGGTACACCCTTCAGCACAGACAACAACTATCTTGGCAGGCTTTTCATAGATTGAGAAAATTCCTCACAAATGAAAAACTACCCTTGAAAAAGCGCGTGCAGCTGTGGCAGTCATGTGTCTTCACCATAATGAGCTATGGCCTAGCTGCGACAGGTCTAGACCCTTCGTCGGCAACAAAACTCCGAGGTGTTGTTATGCGACAGCTAAGGACTACGACAAGGAGTCTAGGACACCTTACGCATGAAACTAATGAGTCCCTACTGCACAGACTAGGCCTGCTTGACCCGGTTCAGCACCTGCAGAGAGTGTGCCACAATCGCATTGCAACATGTCGACAGTTTGTACACCACTTGCAGCCAGCCAGGGTTCACCAATGGTGGGACATTTGTCCTCCACTTTTACGCAGCTGGCGCAAGGCCATCCGTCCGCAGACGCGCGAGCCACTGTTACAGAGGTGACGCAAGTCCTGCGAATTCGATGTTCATGCCAGATTTGTGGTCAGCAGTTTCCCAGCTTGCATGCGCTGAGAGTTCATTTGGGAAAACAACATCCGGAGGAACAGCCCCAAGGCAGGGAAAGAAACCCCACAATTAAAAATAAGCGCAATGACAGTTTTCGGGTTCATTCCTTGGATGGCTTGCCGACTTGCAAGCACTGCCGCAAATCTTTTCATGGCTGGCCTGCGTTCATGGGGCATTTTAGCCAACAGGCTTGCCCTGTCCTACACGGACAGCAACACCGTACGCCTGCTACAGAAGCCAGCCCCCCCGGGCTCCAAGAAAACCAGAATCAGTTTCAGAATTCATCAACCGCCATCCCAGAGTCAGCACAGGCCAGCCGAGCTCTACCAATCTCCCAACCCTCTGCTCAAGGGGTGTCCGCACCGGGAAAGGTTGCAGCAGATTCGGTAGACTTCGACACGCCACCTACTTTTCATCGACCTGCATTGCAGCTGCTGGCCAAACAACGGGACCTCCACGGTCTTGCCAGAGCGGTACAGAACATAGGGCGTTTGCAGTACTGTCCAGAGTGCAATCAAAAACTGACGCATCCCAAATACCTAACTAGACATGCCTGCAAAATGCATGACGCCGTAAAAGAGTTGCAGCCTGCTGTGGAACAATGGCTCACAGCTCGCACTCAAATCGGACAGCCGTGCCGCTGGTGCTTACTGCCCTACGCCACCAGGCCTGCTAACCATGCAAAATCGTGTGCAGTCTTATGGACATGTGGCCACCTTCTAGCTAGACATTCTGACTTGCAAGACCAGTCTCAGCCCAGCATACAGGATGTCTTCAGCACTGCCAGACGAGCAGCTCCAGGAGGCGGCAGCGGAGCTGGCAAGGTTCTCGGCGTACATGCAACCCTCCCCGGTGGCCACTCCATCCTCGACGGCACCATCGACGAGGGCAGGGGAGACGGCGAATCTCTTGGACATGGAGCTGGACGAAAGGCCCAAACGCAACTCCCCGAGCAAAGCCGAAGCCCCGACGCGCGAGCTGGAGACACAGCAGTTGGGAACGCCGCAAAAGTTCCTCAAGGCCGAGGGCAAAGGCGACAACAAGGGCGAGGGCAACTTCACCCAGAACACAGCCGAGGCAGCCGAGGCAGCGGAGGCCGAGACGGACACCCACCCGAAGCCGGCGGAGGAGAACAAGACCGAACCTCCGGGACCCGGCGGCAAAGGGCGCTCGCAGGAGCGCCAGTGGCCGGCCAGACAGGATGGTCGGCGCCAGCAGGAGGAGCCGAGCCAGAGCTCAAAGGACCAGCAGCGAGGAGGCTGGAACTGGGGGCGCCAGCCGTACCAATGGCCCAACCGCTCCGACAGAAGGGGCGGCTACCAGCGCAACGAGGACAGCGAGAAGGAAGCGGCCCTCCGAAAGGAAATCAAGGAGCTCAAGAACATCATCAGAGCTATGGGCAGGCTCACCCTGAGGATCGAGGACCGAGCTGCCGTGGACATGTTGGACAAGGAGTTTTTCCTCTTCCTTCAGATTGAGAGGGAGGCCAGCGGCAACGAGTGGAGCGTGACCAAGCGGTTGTGGACCGTGGCGACAGAGTGGAACCGGCTACGGGAGACCTCCCCAGAGGAGATCACGCAGCCCCTCCGCTGCACGCTTTCCTGACGGCGCTACAGAGCCAGGTGACGGAGATCGAGACGAACTCCCAGCTGTTGCAGCAGGCCAAGGATCGTGGCCTGATGCAGGACGAAAGCTATTGCTATCTTCGTTGGGATCATCAGGAACGCCGCCATCTTCAAGCACCTCAACAGCCGCTCGAACACCAGACGCTCCAGCAGTGCATTCAGCTGATGTTGCGGCTCATCGTGTTCCCGAACACGGTGGGCAACTTCCACCCAGTTCGCAAGATGACGGCCGGGTTGAGCTCCGAAGTGCTGCCCTTCGTTTTGGTTATTCAGAACCGCAACCAGGAGGCACAGCAGCTCTATCAGTGCTGCCAGAGATTGTCGAGGAACTCCAGCCTTCACCTGGTGGGAGCAACGATGAGGCCGGCGAAACTGGGCCGGTCACCGGCCGCAATCGCCTTGGACAAGATGCTGCAAGATCTTTGAGTGCCAGCCCAGGCCAGATACTCAGCCTGTCGTTTTCCAATCCTGATAACAGGTGTTATGCGAATGCCACCGTGCACAGCCTACTATGGGTAGCAGCCAACATTCAGACAGGACTAATCGTGAGCAACCTTCAGATGCTTAGGGTCTTAAGCTGGATGTGCAGAAAGCCTCAGCAAGTGAATTTGTGGCACCTGCGCTCGTGGTGTGCATTGACCTGCCATTGGGCAAATCCGGCCAGGCAGCATGATGCGGGCGAATTTCTTCAGTTTTTAGGGGGGGTCATAGCCTCAGGTGGGTCAACAGACGCATGGCAGGCCAGGCTCATGTGCAGCACGAGTGCCGTGGCCCAGGTCACGGATCACGGACAGATGTTTCCGCTGACACTTTCCAAGGACAGCCCGAGCATGCGCCATCCTTCCTTAGAAGCCAGTCACATGCCCAGTAGTCTCCAACAACTCATCGTGGCATGGAGGAATCAGGCGTCCAGACACGCAGCTGTGACGCTCCCGACACTGCTCCCAGTGCAAGTGGGCCGGTTTGATGAAATAGGCAATAAGGTTCACTTCGCCTTGCAACTTAGTCCCGCGGTTTATATACCCTACTTCGTGGATGCCACCACCAAAACCTCATCGCACAGATACTGTCTGATAGCAGCAGTGTACCACCTTGGCCATCACAAGTCCCACGGGCACTACCGAGCCGCGTTTTTCTGCAACGGTGCTCTGACGCATGTCGCGGACGACGGCTCATGCCCTAAGAAGGCGACTGCTTCAGACCTTCACGAGGTTCAAACAAATGTGTATCTCATCATGTTGTGTAGGGCAGAGCAAGTGCCGGATGCATGAGGCTGCAGACATTTGATCTTCAGCCACCCTGAAACAGGGCTTTTAATCTTACTGCCGTTTCCAACGGAACAGCTGTTGCAGTTAGGAGTTCTACCAGGTTGCTCATCGCATATAGGGGCGGTCACGCCGGGTGAGCATGCCAGAAGGACCGAGTAGTACCACATCCTGAACATTCGTCCCAGATTACTCATGCTTACCTTATCGATTCTATCACTTGTTTCTACTCCCCAATACTTGTTTCAACAGTAGGGTCCATGGCCACCTGTGTGGGAACACACAAACTTTCAGTTTTCAGCGATCTCCTGAGCTCGGGTGCCGAAACACCGGCATGCATCTTCTCAGATGCCAGCTTAGCTGCCGATTACGCAACGCGGGACTCTCTGCGGCGGGTGAAGAAGAAGTATGTATGTATGTATGTATGTATGTATGTATGTATCTATGTATGTATGTATGTATGTATGTATGTATGTATGTATGTATATATATATGTACATATGCATATATATATATATGATTATATATGTATACGTGTAAGTTTGTATGTTTATATGTATGTTGATATGTATATGTTTATGTATCTGTATCTGTATATGTATCTGTATATGTATATGTATATGTATATGTTTATGTATATGTATATGTATATGTATGTATGTATGTATGTGTGTGCGCGCCCGTCTCTGTCTCTGTGTGTGTGTGTG